GGTAAATAACAGAACTAGTTGCCTGACACTTATAGAAGACTTTCATCCTGAAAATCTTTTATCAAGCAGTCTTTGTATTGTTAAGCTTTAGGAAGAGAATTGTTTGGTAAGAATTTTCTGCCATTTGATGTTAGTAGTTTTGGTGTTCAGGCTTTGGTGGGGCAATGTCCTAGAAAATGATGGAAGAAAGTATATATAGTTGTGGTTTTGTTTTTGTTGTTTTGGGTTGAGTCAATCACATATATCACTATAAATCCTTGATTGCTGGAGGGAAAAATTGCTTAATATCTTTCTATCTTAAATATATATGTACATTAAGGAAAACTTCTGATACCTGGTATATAGTTGGTTTTTGATGTTTGTTGAAAATAATTTTATGACTGGGCACGGTAGTACAGGTTAGGCCAAAGCAGAAGGATTGTGAATTTGAGGCCAGCCAGGACTAACTAGTGAGAATCTGTCTTAAAATAAGGTACATAAGAAGAAAGTGAAGCTCATAGAATTATATATAACCTATTCAGTTCTCAGCACACTAACATACTTAGTATGTCTTTGTGATTAATACCTGTCATTTTTAGGTGTACTGATGCAGAATTATTCTTCATATCTTTTGTATAAGGTTAGTGTCTTGGTTACTGTTCTTGTTGCTGAGACAAAATACCTGACACCCAAAGTTAAAAGGGGGAAAGTTATTTGGCTCACAGTTTGTTGAGGTTTCAGTCCATAGATGGCTGCCCTCAAGGCAAAGTGGCATGGCAGAGGGGTGTCACAAAGGAGAAACAGTTCAAGGCAGGCAGAAAGCAGCAAGTCACAAGCAACCAGCAGTCCTCTTTCTGTCCCTGATGTTTTATCCAGCTACCCTTCCCAGGTAGCTCTCACACTCTTAATCCTAGCATCACACTGTGAATCAATCCCAGCAGCACATCCTTAATCTCACCATCACACACTAGATTCAACCACCTCCAAAAACCTCCACCTATGACCAGATCTAGCCACCTCCAAAGATCCCCATCTATAACCACATGAGGCTTTGGGAACATCTAGATACAAGCCATCACAGTAATATTTCAAATTTAATAGTTCTGACTAGTCTTTCAGATATTAAAATGGTGAAATAGTCTTAAACCTGAAGCAGGTTACAGTTAGGGCAACCATATAATTTATTATGCAGTGTTTCACTTTTGATAAAGGGGACTTTATTTAAAATTAAGCTGTCTGTAGTGTAACAGCCATTGTTAATTCCAGTCATTCTGTTTTGAAACCCTATATCATTTTTATTGTTTGTGGTTTGTTTTCTTTTTATGTTGTTTTTTTATTCGCTTTAAAATAAAAAATTAAATATATAAAATTAAGCTGGAGTCATGTTCTAAGCAGATCAGCACATGTAGTCACCCTGTTTGTTTATATTTGCTTTTATGTGTGTGGCACTGGAAATTGTACCCAAGGCCTTACACTGAGCTGTATTTCCACTCCTTCATCCCCACTCTTTCATTTTGAGATAGGATCTCACTAACTTGCTCAGGCTGGAATTCTGCTGCCCTAGTAGCTGGAATTATAGGCATGCTCCCTTGGGCCTGGGGTTTTGTTCTTATCTTTTGAAGTAAACTTTAAATTGAAAGGCATGTTAAGAAAGCCCAAAGGGCCTGAGGATGGAACACAGTGCTAGAATGCTTGCCTGGCATGCATGAGGTGTCCTGAGTTTGATTCCTAGTACTGTACCATCAGAAAACCCAAAAGATTAAAATGAGAGTCCTGGAAAGTTTGAGTATTTGAGCCACCCAGATTAAGAAAGAAAATATTAACAGTATCATAGAAACCTTCACAAATTCCATCTGTAATTTAAAAATTTTTTAAATTCCAGAATCTGTCATTCTAACGTTCAGCTGTGGATAAATTTTGCCTATTTTTGAACTTCATGCAAATGGCATCCATCATACAGAATATATTTTTTGTGCCTGGCCTCATTGGTGTAGTGTTCTTTTGTGAGATACATTGAGGTTGTGTGTAGCAATAGTTTCCTCAAGTTTGTTTTTAAATATTCCATTATATAAATATACTGCAGTTTATAAAATACACTGCTGACAAACAGTTGGGTTGATTTTAATACCTGGATAATGGGAATAATATTACCATACTGATTTTTCAATGTTTGGTGAACATATGTTTTAAGTTGGGTAAGTAAATAATTAGAAGTAGAATTGCTAGGTCTTAGGATATGCAACTGTTCAGTTGTAGTAGGTAATACCACTTTTCCTAAGTAAGCCTGTACTTTCATTGAGCAGTAGCCATCATGGCCTATTCACTTCTTAAAGGCCCCCATCTCTTAATACTGTATTGCATCAGCAGTTGAATTTTGAAGGGGACACATTCAAACTATAGCACCATTAAAAGGAACAACTCACTGGCATGTAGTACATTCACAATGTTGTGCAGCCACCACCTCTATTCAAAAACATTTCAGTTACTCTAAAATAAAACCCCTTAAGCAGTTTCTCTCTACTTCCTCACCAGTCTGCATTCTGTTGAGATACTGATTCTGGATATTTCATATAAATGGAATCATACAGTATGTGGCCTTATGGGTCTGACTTTTTCATTTGACATGTTTTTGAGACTCATCCATGTTATAGTATGTGTCAAGACTTATTTTTTAAGGCTGAATAGTTTTTGTTGTATATATTTGCACAATTTATTTACTTATTTGTTGAATGACATGTAGGCTGTTTGTACTATTTGGTTATTGAGAACAGGGCAGCCAGGCTGCAGATGTGTGTAGCTTGGTGGTGGAGAGCTTACCTAGCATGTATGTGGCTTTAGGGCCAACCTGCAGTAATGCCAAACAAAACAAAACAAAAACCACACACACACACAAGCTTCACAAAAAATCCCAGAACAAGGCTGGTATAAACCTGTGTCAGCTTGTTAAATACTTGTTTTTAACCTTTGTGGTATTTATGTAACATTGGAATTGGTGGGTCATGTGATAATTTTAGGTTTAACTTTTTTTAAGGAACTACCAAATTATTTTCCACAGCCTGTGAACTCTCTCACATCCCTACTAGTGACATGAGGGTTCTGATCTCTCTAAAGTTACAATAGTATTTGTTATTTTCTGTAACTTTGGTAATCCTGGTGGTATTGGAAGTGGTATAAACCTTGCTTTTTTTAAACGTCATTCTGTTGCTGGTATATATATTTTTTATATATATATATGTATAAATTTAGTTTGGATATAAACTTTGTATCTATTGAACTTGTTGAATTCATAATTTCAATAGTTTGTTATTTTTTTCTATATTTGAATTTGCTGATTTCCAAATGCTTTCATGTTCTTTGTTCCTATTTTGAGTAATTATTGTAAAGATGCAGTATTTTTGTAAATGGCTTGGAGGATATTTAATAAGGTTTTAAATTTTTCATTATCTTAAATTAATTTTCACTGTTTCTTTTGTCTTTCAGTTTTCTTTCCTTCCTTCCTTCCTTTTTTTCTTTCATTCTTTTGAGGCAGGGTTTTGCTATGCTGTTCAGGCTGGCCTTGAACTCACTTTGTGACCCAGGCTGGCCTTGAATTGGTGGTGATCCTTCTTCCTCAGCCTCACCAGTGCTAGGGTTACAGGGGTGCACCACCACTCTTGGTACTGTCTGTATTTGTTGAATAGTGATCCTTAGTAATCGCTCATATATAAAGGACTAGGGTGTTTGGTTTTGGTAGCTGATAGTAGCTTCCTCAGTTTTATTTCCTCTCTGCTGATCCCTTGACTTCCCACTTTGTGGATGCTGGAGCAACTTCAGGGTTAGCCCTACTTCTCTTTTGCACCGATCCACATCACATTTGGATAGTAAGCCTAGAGTCATTTATATAGGAAGTAAGACTCACAAGTGATTGTTCTGTTTTTTGAGCAACATTTTAATTACCTTGATTTTCTCATCTAGTTTCTTTGTTCTGATTTTGGAATTTTTCTTCCAGGCTCTAGGGGATTGGTAAAGGTAGGTCTTGCTTCCTTATAGTAGTCCTTTTCTGTGTTTTGCTTGGGTTGCTTAGTGTGCTGTGGGTTCTCTGCCAGTTCAGCCTCAGTTTTCCTTCTAGAAATTCTCCTACTTTATTCTCTGGCCCAAATCCCTTTTTGCTTGTTTAATGGAGTTATTTTTGTTTTCAGATTGTTAGAGTTTTTTTTTTTAAATTATGAAAATTTGGACATAAAACACATGTATCTATTCCCCAGTGTAAATAAAGCACAAATAGAAGCTCCTTATTTTCTTTTCAGGCATCTCAATATTCTGTCCTGTGTGTGTGCATTTCTAAACAGTACAGAGCATTGTTTTGTCATGCATGAGTCTTATGTAGTAACATACTTTACACACCTTTTTGATTGTTTTTCATTCATCATGCCTTTTGTTTTCTTAGTGTATCTTTTCTAGTGTTTTGATGGAATTTGAGTATGGAGCATAAGTTATCTTGTGTATTTCTTACCATGTCTTTTTAAAAAGGGCAATTTAAACACCTTTTGAATATATTGTCAATATCTGACATGTAGGAGAAAGGATGTGGTGTTACCTGTTCTTGTTTCAACTGGTGATGATAGGTAAATATGACACCTAGCAGTGTTACACAAGTAGGCAATTGAGTCTCACTGCTGACCTGTATTTGGTGTTATAAATCCCTTTGGGGACAGAGAAACACCATTCAGTTGTGTTTAGGGTTTAACCGAGGTTGAATAAAGATTTGGGTTATTGCTGGAATGAATTTTAGTACAAACCGTTAAAGAAACGGCCCACAAAAGGTAAGTTACTTGTCTGAAGTGAAAGGAAAACACAGAGTGACCTTTTTTTGTTCTTTCTGCTTTACTGCATTGAACCAGAGGTTGGAGTCCTCTGTCGTTAATGCTTATGTTAAATTTTGCTTTCTTTTAAAATATTTATTGTATATGAATACTACAAGATTTTTACTAAGAATGAACCTAAGTCCTTGAACTAAAACTTTATTTATTATGTTTTCTTAGGTTCAAAATGGTTTCAATCCCAGAATACTATGAAGGAAAGAATGTTCTTCTCACAGGAGCTACTGGTTTTCTAGGAAAAGTACTTCTGGAAAAGTTGCTGAGGTCTTGTCCTAAGGTGAATTCTGTGTATGTTTTGGTAAGGCAGAAAGCTGGACAGACACCGCAGGAGCGGGTGGAAGAAGTCCTTAGTGGCAAGGTAAGTGGTGAATGACCATTTGCAGAGGAGAAAAAAGTGTGTACTTGTACCCATAATAATGATAGGCATTACAAACTTAGCATAATAAACTCAGTATCCTGAAAAACATTCGTAAGAAAATTTTTTTATTAAGTTGCTCCACTGTGGACTCAATCAGTAGGAAAAAATGAAGTTTTTCTCTCATGGGTAGAATTTTCTCACCTTTCTGATAGAGACTTAAAGTATGTTTTTCGAGCACTCGAGACAGGTTATTTGTCTTCAGTAGTTTGAATTGTCTTTAATTAGGTAGTTTTGAACTACTGACTATGCTGTGAGATACTGTGCTTTGATAACACTTTAATATTTGTAAGGACCATAATTACTCTTCTCTTAATGATATTAAGAGAAAAGTCATGTTTGAAAGTCAGTATTTGAAAGATGACAGAGGTCATATAGGATATCAATATACTTTTGAGTCTTTAAAATTATTTCATAATCATAGTAAGCTTGTGAAGTCTCTCAAAATGAATGAATTTATGTGACATTCATTGATTTTAAATTTGGGTTGGGAAGCTCTAAGCTTGATTTTGGTACACTACAGGCAACTCTCAAAAAAGAATTTTCATTATAGTATTTATTTTTGAATAAGAAGGATACTCATATGAGTATCTAAATTTTTATAGGTCTATTTAAAAATCTCAAACTGTGGAAAACCCTTCTAGAACAACCAGACTTTTTACTTTAAGTGAACTTGTAAGAGTTCTTCATATTGGAACTAATTGTCCTGTCACATTATCATATCTTTGATAGTATGTGGCAAATATTCCTCATAATGTTGTTTTTTTTCCTAATCCTAGAATGTAAGTCTTTCTCAGAAATTTAGAAATTATTCTTATTCTTTATAATTACTCAAATTAGTCTCCCTTAACCATGTATTTTTTTAATTCTTGGTTGTGCCCTTTTGAGACTCCTTTACTTCCCTTAAAAGCTATGAAAAACTCAAAAGTAGAAATAAGTTAAAGAGAAAAATAAAAGATAAGACAGTAGGAAACAGGGAAATAAATCTTTTGTAAGTGTGAAGGGGATGAGAGGTGGAGGGTGGGGACGTAAAAAGAATTAAGATGCCTATGCACATGTACCAAGCACCTACAATGAATGTACTACAAATGTGTACCCTAAAAAACAAAACAAAACAAAACCAGCCTAGTGAGAAAGGAGTCATAGAGGGGGCTCTATGACCACCAGGCCTTTGCTGAGTAAAAATGCTTACATGTGAATTTTGTTGCCTTCTCTGCTCTTTGCTTACCAATCTTGTCATTGTACCTTGAACCACTGATACAGATGTGTTTTAGTGCCGCTCCCCACATCTCATTCTACCACTGAGGGATTCATCTTCATTTACTTTTAAGAAAACATTTATTGTGCCTATTTAATTTTGGGCATTTGACTTGACATAGGGCATTGAATTTAGGGATAGATAAGATATGGAGTCCTTGCTTTCTAAAGAATTTTTAGAAAGAAGGAGGGAAGGAAGGGAATATAGAAGTGTTGAGAAGTTGGACAGGAGCAATTAGTGAAGTTGATGGCTTGGTAGGAGTGGAACACTTATTCAGTACTCTCGGTGTAAGAATGGAGGGCTTGAGTATTCTTGCTGTAGGAGTGGAGGGCTGAGTAATCTTGATTAGGAATGGAGTGCCGGAATAATCTTGGTGTAGGAATAGAAGGCCTGCAAAATCTTGGTGTAGGAATGGAGGGCCTGAGTGAAATGTAAGAGATGGGCAATTGGGGTGAGATTTCTGAGGCAGTGCATCTAAAATTTCCCTCACAGTAAGTCTAATTTGTAAAGAAAATGGGTATTTTATACTTCAAGCCTGAAATTTTGTGGACATATGACCATTATTTGGAATATAAAAATGTTTTCTCCCCAAACACTTGACTAAAATTGATAACTCCGTGTTATGGTTTCGATGTAAAAATGTCCATCCAAAGTCTCATGAGTTCAGAGCTCATGGACTTTGAGCAACTGAATGGATTGTTAGGGCTCTAACCTCATCAATAGACTAACCCACTAATGAGTTCATGGCTGAACAAGCTGTTAAGAAGTGTTGCCTAGTTGGAGGAAGTAGTTCCTGGGGGCATCAGTGACTAGAGGCATGCCTTTGAAGGGACTGTCTTTTCTCTGGCTCTTTATTGCCCTCTGTTTCCTGGCTGCTATGAGATGAGCTATTTTGCTCCACGGTGCCCTTCCATCCTGATGTTGGAGCCAGGTGACCATGGACTGAATCCTCTGAAACTAAGCTAAAAATAAAACTTTTAAGTTGTTTATGTCAGATATTTTGTCCCAGCAATGAAAAGGTAATTAATACACTTATTACTGGTGCCTCAGGTTCCTCCTGGTGTGTTCCACCACTTAATCCTGAGAGCACATTTTCCCCATGTATTGCATTGCTGGTGAATCAATAAAAATGAGTCTTTTTTATGTCAAGTAGCATTGAGTGTATACTTGAACTAAGAAATTTTAAGTCGTACTGTGATTTTGAAACAGTAGTAAAGAATATAGGCAAAGAATATATATCATAGTGGAACATTAACTTGTAGCAGGGTTTCTCAACTTCAGTACCATTGTCATTTTGGGCTGGATAGTTCTTTACTATAAGGGCTATTCTGTGTGTTTTCCTGACCTCTACCACTGGGTACAACTAGTGCTTGTCCTCCCCATCCCATTTGTGTCAAGGAAAAATGTTTCCAGATGTTACCAAATGTTGCCAGAGACCAAACTGCCCATACTTGAGAACCACTGATGTATGACAATGAAGGGAGAAAAGAAAGAAAGAAGGAAGGGGGTGAAATACACACACACACACACACACACACACACACACACACACACGATAGCTAAGATAATTATACTACTAATTTCTCTTGGTTTATCAAAAGGAACAATAATTAATCAGTTATGCATGCCTGTATCTAGTAATCTGAACTACTACTTTGAAGATAACAATATGTAATATAATAGCCGTTGTTTTCTACCATCCTGTTTTGAAATTCTGTATCTTTTTTTTAATTCTCTTTAAAATAAAAAAAATAAAAATAAAAGAAACTATAAGAAAAGAAACTTCATTGGATGGTGGGGATTGCATAAGGCCATTGATCATGGACCAAGGTGAATGTAGCTCAGCAGTTGAGCACTTGGCTAGTATGTGCAAGGCTCTGGATTTGATCCCTAGCACCACAGAATATAATAAAATAGTTGATCATGAAGTAAATTTTGGAAAAGCAATAAAGAGTATTCAGAAGGCATCAGTGAATGTAGTAAAATAGCAATCAGAGTACTGGTGAGTTAGACTCACTGGGAAAGATGATATTGAATAAAGAGATGGTATCTAGAAAAAGGAATAGGATCAAATTTGAAATCTAGCTTATGAAGCAGTATGATCACGTATATCCTAGTGGTAGTGGTTATCAGCAGTGAGGAGAATGAAGTATGGATCCAAAGTGTTTGTTTTTGACTGCTTGTACCTTAAATATTGATATTTTCAGGTCTCTGGACTTGATCTCTTCTTAATAGGTCCAGTGAGGTGGTCACTCAGCACTGAGTTAAATGTTTATCTTTTAAATTAGATTTGGAAATAGCTTCATATAGTTTTGATTTTGGGTGTTCATTTTGTTTTTATCTGGATGACCTCTTCTGTTCTTAGGGCTTCAGTTCCTGCTGCTGTGTGTGGTTAGAAAACCTATATTGGTTCTGGCTCTCTCCCCACTGAACTCTCAGACCCACGAAGTCGCCACCCCTGCAGTGGCATATAGGCACTTTACACTTAAGATTCACAAGACTGAATTCATGTCTTCAGAACTGTTACTTTCTAGTATTTTCAATCAGTTATTCACCTAACAAATGTTTATCAAATCTGTATCTTTTTGAGGCACTGTGCAGTTTAGGGCCTATGTCCTAAGCAAAACAGATGCAGTCCCTGTTCTCTTTCAGTTTACATTTCTTATCCCTCAAATCTAGTCTAGTTGATGTTACCTTCTAAATATCTTTAAAAAATGTTTTCATGGTACTCTCGAACACTAGTCTTCTACTAGTCTACTACTTCTACTTCTACTTTATAATTTCAGCGTCTTCTCTCCCTCACTTTTGTCCCAGTGCTCACACATACCCTTCTATGTCTTATTTGTCCTTTAGATCTCAGCTTAAGTGTCATCATTTTCTCTGAAAAGTTGTATGTGGTCTTACGAAGGGGGGGTCATGTGTCCAGTGCAGTATCATAGCACTGTGTTGTTAATCTGGTTTTACTATTTATAACACTGTCTTAATTGTCCATTTACTTGTTTTTAATACGAGGCTGTAAACAACTTTAAAGGAAAGCCTATTTCCTTGTTGTCTCACAGTATAGAAGAAGGTACCTGGCTAATATGAAATGTTTAGTAAAATTTTTTAAATAAAACATTAATATTTAAGAAACTAGGAATAGTGGAGGGAGAGAATGTTAACTGTGAAAGTTGCTTAGGAAGTTGGAAGTGGGCATTATTTGTAATATATAGATGTTCTTCCCAGGTTAAGAATGTTAGGGCTGGAGATATAGCTCAGTGGCATAAGCGCCTGCCTGGCAAGTGCAGGGTCATGAGTTTAATCCCCTGTACCGCCCCCCCCACCCAAAATGCTAAAACTTCTAAGAATGGGCTGTAATTGGAGTGTAGAATCACAGTGTGCTGGAACTGTAGGTAGCATAGGTGTTGCTCTATTAAGTCTGGTATAAAAAACTAAAACTTGCTTCATAACTTGAATGTGCTTTTGTACTTTAATCATATTGTGATACAGTTGGTTATCCAGCAAAATTTGTTCCTTTGGGTATAAAAAAAGTTACATTTTCAGCTAAAGCCTATATATATATTTTTTCAAAGTTTATCTAATTTCTAGTGTATGTATTGACTCCGCAACTTCTCTTTTTAAAAAATTTCTTCAAAGATTTTCGGTTGACAATGAAACAGTATTTTATTCTACTAAAAGGATATAAAACTGAAATGAAATAAAGTGATAAAGTCTGGATTTTGGAAATCTGAAAGATCATTTTAAAACATTGTCTTGATGTGTTGCTCAAGTCTACTCTGAGCAATAATCTAATTAACCAAAACATGTAAAGTTCATATTTAACTCTGCAAATTCTCACTTTTCTGCCTTTGGCTAACTGCTTGACCTCTTTGAGTCTCAGATTCCATATCTGTAAATTACAGATGGTAGTGGATGGTTGTGTGAGCCCTATTAGGATGTTTTCTTTAAGAATAGCAACTTTAACCATTGTATAGTTTAAGTTATTAAAACATCATTCTTGGTGGGAAAAGGATTTATTTACAGTGGGTTTTAGGAAGTGGAAAAATATTACCCTAAAATAAACCTTTCTCCTCTTTGATAGCTCTTTGACAGATTGAGAGATGAAAATCCAGATTTTAGAGAGAAAATTGTAGCAATCAACAGTGAACTCACCCAGCCTAAATTGGCTCTTAGTGAAGAAGATAAAGAGGTCATCATAGATTCTACTAATATTATATTCCACTGTGCAGCTACAGTACGGTTTAATGAAAATTTAAGGTAGGTGTTTGTGTAATACTTACCAAGTTGCATTGAAAGTGAAACTGTCATATGTTAACTGTGGCTTTCAGTATTCTATAGTATGTTAAAAGAATTTATTTTTTTCAGTTTAAAAACATAAGATTAACTTTTTATGTTGACTAAAGTTATTGTCATAAATTTAAACATAAGAGAGAGAAAGGCTAGAAATAGAGAAGAAGCCCTGTGTGGTAGGCACATTCATAATCCCAGCACGTGAGAGCCTGAGGCAGGAGGATTGCCTATTTGAGGCCATCCTTGACTTAGTTCAAGGCCAGTATGAAATACAGTGAGATCCTGTGATTGACAAATAAATAATATAATTGGAGAAGATTAAAACCATTGCTTTGGTAGCAGTTAGCAAGAAGCTACATTGGATGTAAGTTTAATTTGGAATTAATATTTCGGACTTCAGTATGCTTCTTTCAAGAAAAGAACGTTGCAAGTTTTCATTATTTTAAAAAATATATCATTACTATGAATTTAGAATAATGATTCATAGTTCAGAGCATTCTTGTGATAGTGTATCCAAAAATACAGGTTTTATGATGTTAATCTAATTTATAGTCTTGTGGCAGTTAAATTAGTGTAGCCTTCTTTTAAGGTTTCAAAACTATTTGAAGGCCTTCTCTTTAAAATATTTAAGTTATAATTCAAAGGATTGTGATATTTATTGCTTATCTATATCAAATGTAGAAGTATCAACCTAACGTTGCATAATAGGTGAGAGTTCTGTGCCAAAGCCTTAACAGAACTCTCACCTATTTGCCCCTATTCTGGGTGAGAGCACTGTAATAGTCCCTTCCATTTTTGCAGTAATACTTTCATGCATTATTTTATTCCACGCTAACAGTGTAATATAGGCAAATCCATCTTACAGTTAAGAAGCTGAGACAACACTGTATTGGAAAGAGAAGGAACATTGGAATTACCTTAGTTCTCATCTTGACTTATTTATTAACTGATGAGTTCAGGCAAGTTACTAACTTCTTTAAGTTTATTCATCTGTAAAATTAAGATAATATTCCTCAAAAGGTTTTTCTTCCTTTAGAAGTTTAAGTGATATGTCAGCTTGCTTATTTACCAAAGAAAATTTGAACACGTATCAGTTGGCTTTATTTCCCTTTTGGTTCTTTCTGTTTAGCCAACAGGTAAAATACTATATGGCAATTATGTGTTCATGATTCAGAGGTGATGAAAGAATGTCATTAGAGCTACATGCTATCTCATTTTCACAAAGTATGCTTGTATTATATCTATTTATATACATGTTTTTCTGTATTTGCTAGAAATTGTCTTTGGATGATGTACTCACAGGTAGGATTTTAGTTTTATCTGTATATAGTTTACCATGAGCACATATTAATCTTCAGATAAAATGTATACAAATAAATACCTTTGTAAAAATATTTTCGGTGCATGGGCTGGGGATATAGCTCAGCGCCACAAGTGCCTGCCTGGCAAGCGCAAGGTCCGGAGTTCGATTCCTGGTACCAAAAAAAATTTTTTTTTTCAATACAGTACTTAAGAAATCTTAAAGGAATCGATACTCTGACCAACTAATAAAACTTTTATTTCCTATTTAAAATTTTTTTCTTTGCATGTATGCGTTTTTGCATGTAAGTATAACAATTCATTTTCAACTAATATTTCCAAGATTGTGAATGTGGTCCCTAGTTTTTAGTACTTTATCATGCTTAAAATTCATTTGTATAAAATGGTTGATCTAACATATTTTTCTTCCGTGATTCTGGCCTTCATTATTTTCTTGATAACTAAGAGTTCACACAGCTCTATTAAGCTGAGCATGCTTTCAAGAAAAAAAAATGTATAGAGATAATGGCTAGTTGTAGCTTAGTCTTCATTAACTTAAAATTAGACACTTTTAAAAGGGAATTTGATTTGTTAACAGGCAGCATTAATGAGGGTGAATCTCATCAAAGTAACATTTACAAAGGACATTCTCTTTTTCTGTTCCTCTTGGGATTAGAGAGGCTACCATTGAGGAAAAGGATGTCTTTTCATTATTATTCTATGTTCTTACGCTAGAGAGTTTGTAGGAGAAAGGGTTGATACTGTATTTTTCTCTTCCTTATCAAGGTATGCATGTTCTCTGACAAAGCCATAGCCGTTACATCAAAATTATGTGCAGCAATTTTAATAGATATGGATATCTACATGGTGATAGGACATTAGATTTTAGCCAGACGTTCTAAAATACTAGAGTTGGTGCTATAGTATCCTCTTACAAAAACAATTATTTTTATAACCACAAATATAAAATTGCACAAAGCTCTTAGTGCTGAGGAGGAAGTATACATTGGTATCTTGGGGGAGAAACCAAGATATAGTTATACATAGTCCCTATTCAACTGCATATAGTTTACTAGAGGAGATAGGATATGCTTAAATATCTATCACAGAGGGTAGAAAACAGTGTATAATCAGCCATCAAGTGCTGTGAGAATTCAGAGGATATGATTTTAGATAAGGTTCCTAAATCTTGAGATGGGGAAAACATTCATAGGAAGATTAGGAATTATACACACTGACAGAAGGTGAGGGGAGAAGCAGTACTGAGAATAATATAAAGAGTTAAGTAGTTGATGGTGGGGTTTGGTATTCCTTAGGTACGACAGGTCCACTAACCGTGAAGCTGGATACCGTTATGATGACAAAGCCTTTGTGTGTGTGTGTGTGTGTGTGTGAGAGAGAGAGAGAGAGAGAGAGAGATATGAGAGAGAAGAGAGAAAAAAGAGAGAGAGAAAGAGAGAGATTCCAGAAGTATGGGTATAAATATGAAAGTAGGTTTCCCAAAAGAAACGGAGATAAAGATTGATGATTAGAAAAGACCAAGAAACTAAAGGACATTGTCAGACTTCAGAATGTATTATTAATCTTAAGAATTACTAGAAAGTGTGTTAAAAATGCAGACTTCTAGACTGCACTTGTTAAATTCTGACCCTCTGGTTGTGGAGTAGCACCCAGAATTCTTAGTTTTAGCAACGAGTGTTAGTTGTGAATTAGGTGCTGTTGGACTTGTACTTTTAGAATCACTGTTCTCACAATCAGCTTTGGAGACATCTTTAAAATTACAGATACCTAGGTCCTCTGGCCTGTGATTGATTCATTGGTTGCCAAATATCTATGTTTATATTAAGGTTAAAAAAAAAAAAACAGTGGCTGTTACAATAGTGATAAAACTCACCTTGGCATGGTTTTCTCAGTGTTGAGATGAGGTGAAAAGAAACTCATGTCAAAGTGGTCCAGGGAACTTAAAATGCATTTGCATAGGCTTTGTTTTAGATATTAAAAGTATCAGGATGAGGTCTAGGTGTCTGCATTTTTAATAAAATCCCAGTTATATGTTGTGCCAGGTATGGGAGTACTGGTCTAAGGTGTTTAGAAGTAGCATCTAGATTTTGAAGAACCCTAGGTGTCTTTTAAGACAGATGAACAAGAAAATTTATTGGCAGTTCAAGTTGAACTTTCTCTTTTCTTTTTGAAGTGGTTTCTCTGTCTATATACAATGAAAGACCACAGTTGCAAAGATGTACTCATCTTCTACCCACTCCCAAAAGCCTATCTTTAGCATTTATGATTCCATATAACTAAAACACGATGAAACGTTCTTGTTTAGTAATATATCTGATCTGATCTGATGTGTCAGGATCTGAGCCTAAAGTTCAACAAAATAGAAATTGGGTCAGGGTAAAGTAGACTGAGGTTAACTAGTCTGGCAGAAAGATACCAAGAGTTAATTTAGGGTGGCACGAAATAGCTTCAAGTTGAGCTCTTCAAATGGGGTGGAGGGAGGCAAGGCACAGGAGTGTGCCTGTCAGGTTACTCCTTTCAGTGACCCAGAAACTGAAACCAGCCTCAGAAGGGAGTAACAGAATATCCAAAACATTACTCTCCACACCCATTGTTTTGCAAATGCAAAAGAAAATAGCACATTCCCTAGCAGACTGGTCCTCTCTGAAATGTCTTCCATTTTAGATTTCCATTTGAATAGATCTGTTTGCCCTCAGTTGAGATAAGGAAAAAAAATACAACCCATGATTATAAGATTCTACTCCAGTTTCGTTAAAATTCTTTCTTGTTTTTTTTGTAAGTTCTCATACACTACTAAATTAAAACAAAAAGTAAGGCGTAGGTGTCCCTCCACTCCTATGAGTTATTCCTTGTTTCCTGTGACCCAGAACTTCTTGTCCTGTCCTCAGGAACTTGTAACAAAATATTCTCTATATACTTGCCCCCAAACAGTACTCTCCTCTTTCCCATTGTGTTGCAAACAAGATAGATATCAAAGCACTGCTTTATAGTCAAGTGGACTGGAGTCTACAGATGACAGTATCCTTGCCATTTCAAAGAATTAGTTGGATTTTTTCCTTCTAAATACCAACAATATAATTATTATTCAAAGTACACAAAGCTATGTTTATTTTTTTTTAAATTCTTTTTGAACATATTTTACATGATTATAAACATGTGGACTAATTTTACCTTTAAAATTTAATATAGAAATAACTTCTATATTTCTAAGTGTTATGACTAATTTTAGTGATTTGATATATTGTCATAGATACAGTATATAATTCATATGAATTTAAGGAGTTTTAATTTCTTTTTGTTCTGAAAATTACGGTGAGGAGAAATTCTTTTCCTCTGAAAATTAGGTTACCTACATCAATAAATATGTCATTTCTATAACTCCTGGTTCTTTGTCCTAATTTCTTTTTGATCAGTTGGGTCAATTTTTAGTGTTACTCAACAGTATAAGTGCTCTGCCCCTTTATCACTGGTATTACCTCTTCCCCCTTTATTTTTTAATTCACAAAATTGTATATATTTATCATACACAACATGTTTTGAAGTATATATACATTATGGAATGGCTGCATTGAGCCAATAATGCATTACCTTACATACAGTTTTTGGGGGTTGAGATCACCTAAAACATACTCTCCGTGACTTTGAAGAATACATTGTTACTAATTATTGTCATAATGTTGTACAGTAGAACTTGTGCTCATTTTTTAAAAAGCTGTAAGCAAAATTTAATAGAAAAGAAAAACTACCCAACATTTATTACCTGAATATTTATTGGCTACCTGTTTTGAGACTATGTTGTGAACAGTAGTAAACGCTTGCAAGCTATGTGTTTCACTTACAGGTTTAGTAGGTAGATTCCATGTTGCTTCCCACTTACAGGTGAAGAAATTAAAGCATGAGTGTTTGAGTAACTTTGCATATTAGTTGATAAGTAGGCCAAGCCAAAATTTGAACCCAGTCTGATTCCAGAGCCTTGTTCTTAATCCTGCTTCCCATGACACTACATATTTTATATTCATTCAGATTTTCCGTGTTCTTATGGTCTTCATACGATTATATTACTGGCTATATTCTTTTATTGTGATAAAACACTGTACTTGCTTTGTTGAATTATTTCATTCATAATGAATATTTGGATTCTCTAGGTGTCATTAGTAGATGCTTCATTGATTACTTTCTTGCATATATGCTTTTGCTTTTGTGGAATTAGTTACTTCACTTAAATTGTAAGAAGGAAATATATGGATCATTTTAGAGTCTTGCATATGCCTGTTGTAACAAACTTTTATCATAATGTCCCTTTGAATTTTTAAAATACTCTTTTAAAAGTGTTTGTATTGTTACTGAGAGGGAAATAAACATTTTTATTTTATAATATAGCATAATTTAATGTTTCTGAACTTTCTTTGGTTTATATGTTAATATAATTTAACATTCCTGAGTTTTATTTGCCATTTTTACTCCTTTGGTAACTGTACCTTAGCATTTTATGTATGTATGTAGGTATGTATGTATGTATGTGTTTTGAGACAGTGCAGCCTGGCCTTGAACTCATGTAGCCCAGGCTGGCTTCAAACTCACAGTGATGTGCCTGCCTCAGCCTTCCAAGTGCTGGAATTTCTGGCGTGTTCCACCATGCACGGCCTTACCTTAGCATTTTAAAATTATTCAGCCATTCCAGTTTTTTCTGCTTGTGACATGTCCATATCATGAAAGATTAAATTTTTAGAAATTAAGGTGCAGAAGTAGTCTCGGATAAGTTCCAAATACAGAGAAGCTAAAGACTGAAATAATCTCACTATATTCTTGTTCAGTTAATTTTTTAATGTGTTCTTTTACTTTTCACTTCTACAATAAAGTTTATCATTAAAAAATTGCTTTTTAAACCTAGATGTTAGAATGAATGTCCTTCATACTGAAATAAAATACATAAAATCAGACCTAAAGGATGAGTTGTAAAGAATCAAAAATCTGTTTCTGTCTCAGATTTACAATATTTTATTTTCACTTTTGTTTACAGAGATGCTGTTCAGTTAAATGTGATTGCTACACGACAGCTTATTCTCCTTGCACAACAAATGAAGAATCTGGAAGTGTTCATGCATGTCTCAACAGCTTATGCCTACTGCAATCGAAAACATATTGATGAAGTAGTCTATCCACCCCCTGTAGATCCCAAGAAGCTGATTGATTCTTTAGAGTATGTTTGTTTGAAATTTATAGACATTTCTTTAATCCCAAAGTTTTTTTTTTCTTTTTCCTCTCTCCTCCACATACTTAGCACATACTTATCTCTGTTTATTCAACAAATAATTGCATATCTGCCATGTTACTTTTTATTTATAGATTTATGTCTGAGTGGTGAAGTCAGTGTGGAGCTTTCACATTTGATCTTGAATAATGGTTAGGGAGAGCCCTGTGAACAGTTCATCCATTATAGTAGGGATTCTGTTTTCCAGGTGGTCAATCCCAGCAACCCAGAAAGTACCTCTGAAGATCATTGGTGGTCTAGTTGACTAAAGGCTACATATATCCTCCTTCCTTTCCCTGTCCATACAATGCAGTATATCAGTGTTGAGCCTTTTAGGTCTTCATTGATGATAAACAGCTGGCTAGGGCATGCATGCCATGGGTTTGCCACTATTGCAGCGTATCTATAGACGGGTCTTTAATTTTTAGGGAATTAGAGAAGTCTTTGTCCTTTAATTCATACTCCTAGCATATTGCTTACCATGTTTCTGAGGACTGGGATCCTATCAGTAGTGATTATTATCCTATCAGTAATTATTTCTGAGGCCTGGGATCCTATCAGTAACATGAATATTGTTAAGTACACGATAGATGGATATTAAATGAAATACGCAGAAAAATTCCATAATGGAGATGAGTTTTGGAAACTAGGATAGTTAGCTAGGCCTCGTGGCACAGTGCTATAATCCTAGCACTCAAAAGAGACTCAGGCAGGGGGCTGGGATTTAGCTCAGTGGCACAGCGCCTGCCTGGCAAGTGCAAGGTCGTGAGTTTGATTCTTGGTACTGGAAAAAAAACAAACAAAAAGACAGAGGCAGAAGGATCACTGCAGGTGAGGAAAGCTTGGGCTATATAATGAGTTTAAGGGTAGCCTGGACTACAAAGTAAGATCCTATCTCAAAAACAAGAAAAAATAAAAAACTGGGATAGCTGATAGGAGAACAGAAAACTGCAATCCTACAGAGCTAGAAGAGAGATTTTAGCCAGTAAACTTAATGATTTGAGTTTACAGAGCCTAAAACTATCTGGTAACAAGTAAAGGTGATAATCAGATTACCAGCTCTTTCTCAGTCCCTTAGACATGTATATATCAATGCTAACAAGAGAAAAAGTAGTATGTTTCATTAATTTCCATAATTGACTTTTCCTGGAGATAGTAAACACTTTTGATTATGACCTGAAGTTGAGTAGCAGTCTCCTTTCATTTTGATTAATGTTCTTTTCCTTCCACCTGAAAAAGTATTTGTCTTGATCATCTCCATTTTATGCTTCCTTTTCAGTTAGTTCATATAGCATTAGAGTGTGACGGTACTGAGTCTACTTTTACACCCAGCATAGACAAAAGGAAAAAAATATATCTGCAAGCAAGTACATAACATACCAGAAGCAGAAATTTAGACCAGGAAACATTATAGACATAATTAGTCTATCAATTTCCTTTTGCAGATGACCTGAGTACACTTTTGTTTACAGATACTGAGAGATTCAAGAAATTTTGTGACTTCAGAGTAGATTATTTGAATTTTCATGTGTTTTAATACATTTTCATTATTTTAGTACTAATATTACTTGTAAGTGCTTCATCGTAAATACTTAGTTTCTTAGACCATTTATTGTAAATGTGTGTGAATTGCAAATGTATATAATGAACATGTAACTCTGTTAGGTGCTTATGTATACATCTGTACATAATCCCTAATCTGAAACATTTGAAGCCAGTTATATTTTAGAACTTAGGGCCTGAGAAAGAAAGTACAATTTATGTGTTGTGTAATATAAAGCAATCTCAGTTTGGTCTGGAGTAGCATCCTTGATCAAACACATATGGAATATGTGAATATTGAAGCTAAATGATATTTTTATTTATCTTATTAGGGCTTTTTGGTTTTAATAAAATTTCTATTAGTGTTTATTAGTTTATAAAATACCGTGTTTTAGTGTGGTAGTTTCATGGTTGTATATGCCATTTGATCATAGCCATTCCCTCATAGCCCTCCTTTACACCCTCTCCTTTACTCCCTTTCTCTCGTCTAGTAATACTCTCTTTCCTATGTTCATGTCCTTTTTTTTAATGATTTCCACATATTAGGGAAAATGTGATACATGTCTTTCTGAGTCTGTGTTACTTATAAACATGGGTTTTGTTGTAGTCCATATGGTTTATGAGAGAACTCTTGGTTGTCAGACCTTTTTGGATGTAGAAGTTACAGTTACAGGAGTTACAGACTTGTTTAATGAAATTTAAGACTTTTTCATAAAAGTTACTGTCTAATCATTGTCAGAAAATAGATATGTTCAAATGTTCAAAGTTCAGCTGAATAGTTTTTTTATTCTATAGTAAACACCTGGAAATATTTTTATGTGCAATTTCTTTGTTTACAGATGGATGGACGATGGCCTAGTAAATGATATCACACCAAAATTAATAGGAGACAGACCTAATACGTACATATACACAAAAGCATTGGCAGAATATGTTGTACAACAAGAAGGAGCAAAGCTAAATGTGGCGATTGTAAGGCCATCAATTGTTGGTGCCAGTTGGAAAGAACCTTTTCCTGTAAGTTGTTAGAAGGTTGTATAAACAATTGGAATTGAAGATTTTAAGTCATAACTATATTAAAAAGTTAACAGTTTTATTTGAGAATAGGTACTATTTGCCAAACACAGCTTACAATAGCATAGCTGTTGCTGTTCATACGAAAAAATAGTGTTATTGGTACTTTTATTTCTTTTTTTTTTTTTATTTTAAAGAATAAAAGAAGGATAACATAATAATAGGGGGGACTTAGCAAATTACAGACAAAATGGTAGGAAATTATCAATGGTTATCATTTTACATATTATTGTCTACAAAATAGTTTCTCAGGAAAACAAATAGACAAAAAATAGTGAGTTAGAGACAAAAGAGGTAGGAGATTATCAAGAGTTGTTGTACTATACTTTGGTATCTTCAAAGTGGCTTCTAAAGAAAATAAATAGAGCTATACATGAGTGACCTATTGAAAAATCATTAACTATTCTCAATGGTTGTTGTAGGAAACACATAATAATAAACATACATCCATTTATGAAATAGGATAGGAACATTACAAACTTTACACAGTTATGGATAGATTAGTAGGAAAATATCAATGGCTGCTGTAATACGTGGTGGTATCTTCAGAGTGGTTTCTCAGGAAGACAGAGATATGCAAGAAGGATCTAATAAGTAGTTGCAGCCTAAGGGTTGTCAAAAATAGCATATTACCTCCTCACCAGTGACTCCTTTCACTGAGGTATGATGGCTGGAAGGAAGGCCAGGATTGAAAAGAACGACCGAGAGACTTGCACCTGTGACTAGCAACAGGCTGTTTTCTTGTTCCTCCATAGTCATGATTACCCAGGGCTCCTCGATGGAGATGACGGTCTGGCCAGAGGGAGAAGGCAGACCATGCCCCAAGCCCTCTCATTCCTGTTGGACTAACTGGTAGCATGGGTCTGAGCTCTGGGGCCTCCACCTCAGAGGGCAGACCGATCTCCAGTGGTCTCCTTTGCATCCAGGGCATGGCCCATGGGGCCTCTTAGGACAGTTCCTCTTGAGGTGGCCTGGCTTTTAACAGTGGTAGCCGATGAATGCAGTTGTTGAGTTCTTCTTGGAGCCCTGGGAATCAGACCTGGGATCTGTTTCTCTTAGTGGTGCAGCAAAAGCAGCTGCTTTTTCTCAGTCTCTTTGTTTTCTCTCCTTGGCCTCTTCCTCATCATGGCTATAGAGTACTGAGGAGGCAATTCTTACTAACATCTCAAGTGAGCTATCTGGGGTGAAAGCCATTCTTTGTAGCTTTTTCTCTCCAGCTTCCCATTGCTTTGGGACCCCACAACCAGTTAGTGTCCTCTCCTCAACTGTCAGCACAGTCAGCAGGAATCCTGCTGCAGACTTCTCCGGAGCTCCACCACACCCTGTACTGTCAGGGGAAGAATGGCTTCCAATGAGTCTCTGCAAGTATTGTGCAAGGTCCTCCTGGTTTACAGCTTCCGAGCGGCTCTGGGGACCCCAGTCCACAGGACCTCTGACTCCGAGGGCTTGGTCTGCATTCTCATGTTCTCTGAGTCCTTGTTCAGCAGCTGCTCCTCCGCTGACTCTGGACCTTTCTGGTTCCCAATGGCAGGCGCAAGAGTGGCCCGTTGTATGGCATGTATTCCCAGGGGTTGTTCAAAGTTTCAATGATTCACACGGTACTTTTATTTCTAATGTGATCCTGTGTGTGTACAAATGTAGATCATCATTTTTAAAAACATAATCAAAAGTTATGTCTGAAGCTGTGGTGTTACTGAGTAAGGAGAATATGATTTAATTTGCTTTTTTATTACCAAAACAAAACAGGTCCTTCAGGAGGTAGTTCTCACAAAGTAAGGAAAGTGTAAGAGATTTCTGTGATAACTTGCTGTTACGGTATTTGTAAGTGCCTAGAGTAAGACACACCAGATATAAATTAACAGATAAACTGATTTGGGAAAAACGTAGATGTATGTAATGGTAGTGATAGCATCTCTTTTGTTGCTTTCCTATGTTAGTAAATTTCCCTCTGATCAGGATGCTATATTAGTAAATAGCAAAGAATCAAATTTGAATAGGCTTAAGCTGGCACAATTAAGTAGTAGCATACACTCATTTTTAGAAAATACCCTTTATAGGGAACTAATGGAAAAATAACCCCTTGGAAATATTTTACTTATTTACCATCTCAGAAGAAGTTGGCTATTTGGGCTGGGGAACAATATTCTGAACAGAGTCTAGATTTTTTTAGTTTTTGAAAGAAAACGACAAAGTATGTATTTGGAGTCATAGATTTCAAATAATGTCTAGTTTCATATTTCTAAGCTCTCTTGACTCTCCTTTTAATTTTTGGCATTAGGGATGGATTGATAACTTTAATGGACCAAGTGGCCTCTTTATTGCAGTAAGTAAACCTTTTGATTTACATAATAATCTATATTTTTCTTTTCTCCTTTTTAAATTAAATATATGTACACACATGCACACTTTGTCTTATATATCTTAAGGTGTTGTTTTTAATTTCAACAAAGGCAGGGAAAGGAATTCTTCGAACAATGCGTGCCTCCAACAATGCCCTTGCAGATCTTGTTCCTGTAGATGTAGTTGTCAACACAAGTCTTGCGGCAGCCTGGTATTCCGGAGTTAATAGGTATGTGAGGTGATAATATTGCTTAGTAAATATATAGTAACTGAGAAGGGAAAATGGAACTACGGGTTAATTACAGGTTAACTACGGGTTAATTACCTGATGTTAATTAATTCCGTAGTCCCTATATTGCCATACCAATATGTAGGTAATGTCACTGTCAACAGCACAAGTTGGTAGATGTCAAACAATAGTACGTGGACCAGTGGACCATCAGTAGTAGTAAAAAAATTAATGTTACTTCTCATGTACACAGTACAGAATACATAAATTCATTAGTAATTAAAAGTGGGGGAAAAAACCCTCCCCAAAGACGATAATCCCAACTAAAATCTAACTTAAATTTGACTTAAAAAGTTGAAATTCAGAGATTGGTTTATATATGTCAAACGTAGCATGCTAGAACAGCTTTAATCAATGCATGAACATCCCTTGAAAAGGCAATAATAGCATTTACAGGAAACAACTCAACGTTAAGCTGCCTAACTTACTTTTTCAAAGTTAATGAACTGCCCTTATTTTTGAAGTCGATACTTTATATCCTTAAAAAAGGGGGAATGTGATTATATTAATATGTTGTTTTGGTAAAAAGGAACTTAGTGCACAATTTTTTTTTCCAACTTGACCCTCTGAAAAATGACAAAGAGCTAAGATTGATTGTGACTTTTTCCCTTATTTTTAAAAACAAGACACTTTACTAACACAAGGGAAAAATATGAAAAGAAAGTCTGTATTTATGATTTTGGAGGGTAGAGGAGGGATATAGTATAGTTGAAGATTGCAAACATGAATATACATAGTCATTGTAGAAAAGGTACCTGTTACTCTGAGATCTTCCTACTTCAGTATTACATAGATTTAGTAAGTTTGGTCTCTTTATGTTTCATTACTTCCATCTTTGTCTTTGCAGACCAAGAAACATCATGGTGTACAATTGTACAACAGGCAGCACTAATCCTTTCCACTGGGGTGAAGTTGGTATGATTTTATCTGTTTTTGCATACTAGAATAGATCTGAAAGAATTTAAAATGTCCTTTGAGTTTTTAATATTAGAGCACCTGTGAGGCATTAGGGCCACACAGTTGTAAGTGTATTCTTATTTTCCTTGCCATTTTAGAATGATAGTGACCAATGCTGCCTGTGGTTCATCCTTAATAGTGTTTTAGAAATGTCAAAATATCCCGCTGCATATATTCCTGTTCACTCCACCTGTGACTGAGCCTTGCTGTGTTTCTGTTGCCATCTGCAGCAGCCCTCATAGATGAGTTGTGGCATGGAAACAGTGCATTTTTCTCCTGCATAAGAGCTCTCAGTCCTGATGCTGCCAATTCAAAGGCGGTATCACTTCCACTTAACATAGCTGGTTTATCAAGTTGCTTTTAGAGTAATAAATGAAGGAGTTAGGATACGTATTGCCAGAATATTTTTTGCTGACCTTTCTTAATCTTACTTAAATTCACACCCCAGCAGCTAGTATGTATGTTACTAGTTTTAAAATAGGAATGTATAACTTAAGGTTATTGAAACGTAATTATTTTTAAATTGTTGATTAATACTTCATAATTAAAGTAAATTTATGGCATCGCTGTGGTGATAGGTCTTCTAATTGAATAATTTTTGTTATGCCTGCAAAATAATTTTGGTTTAAAAGAAAAATCTTCCATGACATTTGTTTTTAGGGTTTTTTTGTGGTACTTTTACTTAAATTTAAAGATAAAAATAAAATCTAGAGTGATTTTTATAATTATTTTAGTATTCTTTTAATAATATTGAGACACTTTAAAATGAATAACGTTTTAGTCTTCCATTGTGTTACAAAAACCAACGGGAGCTAATATTTTAGTGACCATCTCAATACATATTTCCATTGAAGTATTGACATAGATGATACCAAGTTTGATTGTGTTGACAGTGAGTAACCTAAATAAATTACAGCCGAGATTACTTTTGGGTTGTTTTAAGCTTGTTTGATGTCTGTTAATTTGATCATTTTAATTATAAGCAAAGGATGATGATTTTCCTTTTCTTTTTTAAGTAAGTACAGTAATAAGAATCTGGAAAGAGGAACAGAAAGAAAGAAGCTATCGTGAGAGGTGACATATAGGAAGTGACATACACTGTAAACTGACATGGGTAAAACATTACAAAGATTTTAAGAGTGAATTTTAGCAAAAGTTCATTCATCTAATTAAAATTCCTAAATAGTGGCAGTTTTTAAAACTTGAGTTTAGCAATCTAATCCTCATATTCTCTTAGTTACCATAGAGTAGAGAAGTTTGTTTTTTTCAATGAACGATATCTGACATCTTTGGTGAAATATTTTGCATTGTAAAAACATTTTTTTTCAAAACTTCATTACATGGTTATTATCAAAGCTGTTACACAACTTTTCTTCCTCAGAATACCATGTAATTTCCACTTTCAAGAGGAATCCTCTCGAACAGGCCTTCAGACGGCCCAATGTAAATCTAACCTCCAATCACCTTTTATATCATTACTGGATTGCTGTAAGCCATAAGGCCCCAGCATTCCTGTATGATATCTACCTCAGGATGACTGGAAGAAGCCCAAGGTAATGGTGACTAGCTCTGTCTTATCTGTTCCTCTGACTGTTAAACAACCCATGCTTACACTAAAATGCCTATTAACTCTGTATCTGTTTATGCTTATGATAAGGCTTAATGGCCTTTTGTGAATAAGAAGACACTCGAATTTAAGACTTGGTCAGGAAAGCAAAGGTAGTGTTGTAAGTCACTCTACTTTATTCTAAAGTTTGGATGATACATTACTGTCATGTATTGAATTCTAGATTTAACTTTAGGTATTTTTCTGAATAATAATATTCAAAATGCTTTGATGCTTACTTTTCCTACAGGATGTTATGTAACTCATTCCTTCAGGATGAATCCTTATAACCAAGTATTCAGGCACCCCAATTTTAAGTTCTATTCCAACAACCTGTTGTTACATTATTGGAAGGGTGTCAGACATACAGTGCCTGCATTATTGCTCGATCTTGCTCTCAGGTTGACAGGTCAGAAACCGCGGTAAGAAGAATAGCAGTAAATACACTATTTATTGGTAAGGTGGTGGAAGCTTGCTGGAGAGACAAAAAGTCGCTAGCATGAGCTTTACCTTTAGAACTAGTAACCTGATTAATCACAATCACAATCAAGATGGTAGGACATTTCTTAGAAATTTGAGAAATTTAAGGAGATCATGGATCTCATCTTACTGGGTCATTGACCCACCAAAATCCCATAATGTAGGAAATGTCCTGCATCCAGGGTTGTCATTGTTATTATAAGCTGAAGTTGAGCCCTTTTCCTTTCCTCCTTAAAAACCTAGGAGTGAGTTTTTACAGGGGGTTAAGGGTAAAATGTTTTGCTTTAGGTTGATGATGCAGTTTTATATGAAAAGTATAGGAAATTTCTAGAAAATTAATTACTTTATCTGCCCATTCAGCTTATAATATGATAATTACAGTTTTTGACTAATTTTCCAGGTTGGGGATGGCATAGTTTAAAAAAAATTAATAACAAATGCAAAACTTTATATTTTATTATAGTATAGTAGCCTTTCTTTATGTCTTTACTTTTTTTCCATTGAAACCCCACAAAAAGTTCTGTCTTTACCACACACAGTGAAATGTACTGTAAAAATGTTTATTTAGTTACATTGCTATTAGAGTGGAGCCTTTGACTGGAGAGTTCAGGATTTGAGTATTTATGTAGGTGAAGAAGATGCTGATTCCAGAACTTCAATCAGCTGCTCAAAAATAAAAGTGAGGTATCTGCCAGTGATAGTGTATCAGGATCTGAGTTAATTGTAGGTATTTCCTGTGATTTTGCTTGGTATCGTGTTCCTAACTTTTATATCAATCATTGAAATATGTGAGAGATGTTGAATTGAACAACTTTAAAGAAACTGTTTTCAAGTTTTTGTAGGATGATCTGTAAAATGAAATGTTTACCATTCACAGCATTCATTTATGGCTAGAAAGCAGATGAAAATGATGACATGTTTTCTTTACATTAATGATGTTACAATTTAGGGCAGAAAAATCAAAACTGGTTCCAAAAAAGTAAAAGGTTAAATCTATCACTTTGTCTTATGCAGAGAATGGAGGCTCGATAAACCTAAAAGAAATGACTAGCCATATTTACTAAGTGGTTCAGAGTACATACTGCTGCGTAGTAAATCATCTTAAACTTAATGGTTCAAAGCATCAATAGTCACTTTATTAATTATTTTTCAATGTATTTCTCTCAGGATCAGGAATTTAAGAAGAAATCAGCTGGGCAGTCTTGGATTGGGGGCTTTCATGTTGTTGCCAGATGAGCTGAAAGAGCTAAAGTATGATGTGAACACCATGAAGTAGCTAGGGGCCAGGAGTCACTGACTCCTCATACAGTGTCAGCATCACTTCGGACAGGGTCTTTGCAAGGCCTAATGGTAGCATTAAGGAAATTAAACTTACTTTTAATTTATATGGCAACCAAAGGCATCGTAGGGTTGGTATCTCAGCAAAAAAGGTAGAAGGTACATTGCCTTTTCTGACCCACCTAAGGAAGTCATGCATTATCCCTTTTGTCTTACTTAATTATTCATGTTCTTAGATTCGGGGAACAGGCATGTAGAAAATGGTCAAGATCATGTTATAAACAGACAAATGAGAGAAGGTGTATTAAAGTCATTTTTGAAAAGTGTAATCTGCTGCAACCTTCTGGTCAAAACAATTCACATTCCTCCAACATGGAAAGTATAGCTGCTTCTTTCCCCTAAGATCCCAGCGGCATCAGCTTTGAAGCCATAGTTTTGTCATTTAAATTTGATCCTGTTGCATAGTAGACTATGTTGGAGTAGTATTACAGAGAGAGCTTCCTAAATATATTTCCTTAAGTATTAATCTGAAAACCTGTGAATTAAAGCAAGTTATCATCTCCTGATACATGCAGTATGTGATAATAAGAGAAGTATAAATCAGTGGCTTCAGTTTTCAAAAAGAGGGAACATGGGTGACACACAGTAAGCATTGATTCATAATAGTTCTGACTACCAGTGAGGTATGTGTTGATGATTTCTTGATTAGAACTGAGTCCTATCCTCTGGAACATTGCAGAGGCTGCTGATTCTTTTTTCTTGAGTCATCGTTTTTCCATAAAAAGTGGCGTGAGTGTGAAATGATGTAGCCTACTTATCCTGCTTCTTTTTTCTAGGAACTTAGTCTGGGGCAGGGTCACCAAATTTTTCTTACAAGACACCATATGTAGTAAACACTTTAGGTTTTGTGTCTGTTGGGTTCTTTTGCTACTACTCAACTCTGCTGTTAAAGAATGAAAGCAAGCTGTGCATGGTGGTGCATTCTGTAATCCTAGCTACCCACCTGTTATCCCAGCTACTTGAGAAGTTGAGGCAGGAGGATCTCAAATTAATTGCTAGCCTGGGCAACTTAGCCAGACCCTATCTCAAAAAAGAGGTTAACATGACTGTGTTTCAGTAAAAGTATATTTATAAAGATAGGTGGAAGGATGGATTTGCTAGGTAGGCCTTGGTTTGCAGGTCCTTGATAGAAACGTGTTTTCATTTTGTGTTTTCTCTGTCCTTTTACATGTTAATTGGTGTGATTGCTTTAAAAATTATGAAGCATCTGTATGTTATTTTAAGCAATCCGTTCCATTAGACAAAAACCTTCTCTTTGAGATAAAAACAGATCTCTTTGAGACAAGGTCGTCTTCTTGTAGGATCTGAGGTTGCTGTGGGACAGCATCTTTAGATCTTAAATCCTTGCCTCTTGAGTCCTGCCTTTCATACAGTAGTGTTTCCATGACACATGTTTTTAAGATCTGAAGAAAGCCTTTGGCTGTCTGAAAAATTCTATGAGGCACTACTTTAGGTCATTCCAGAGTCTTAACAAAGAATGTTTCATCTCTATCCTAGATAGGTAATGATCTATGCTGAGAAACAGTTCTTTAAAGATTCCTTACTGGCACTTTACATACTGTGATCGTTAGCTTGATTGTGTCAGCTTGCCCGGCATGGGAATCACCCAGGGTATTGGGTGGCTCCCACTTCTGGCTGTGTCTGAGTAAGTCATGGAGGTGTGGCCTTGGATACCATAGATAGTCCTTTGCCTCTTTATCTGGCACTGTTCTCCGCTGTGCCTTTCCACCATGATGTTTCTGCCTTGAAACTAGCTTACCATGCACTGAATCCCCTTAAAATGCGAGCCAAATTAAACTTCTCCTCCTTTAAATTGTGAGCATTGGGTATTATTTCTAGCAGTGGGAAAGCTGACTAATACACATTCTTTCCAAATTTCATTCAACAAATACTTCCTTTTATAAGGTCAACTTTGACTTTCAAGAAACGTTGGCTGGATTGAGTTTTGTTAGGTACAGTCTGTTATCCTCCATGTTACCACAAGTGATGGTTTGTGTTTTTCTTCCCTGGGTATTGAACCCAGAGCCTTGTACATGCTAACCACATACTGTATCATGGAACTACAAACAGCCTTTAATTTCTTTAGTGTAAGGCCTTACCATCAGCTTCCTCAAAGCGCTTCAAATCTTCCATCACTAGCATTCTTTTCCTGGTCCTTTCAGGTTTCAGTGATGAGCTCTCTGCCTAATCCTAAAGCTAATAGTGTATGTTTTAGATTTGCATTTTAGCAACCTGTCACTCCCAATACTGCTAAGCCCTGTTACTGTTTTCAGTGCTGTATCACCAGTCACCATAAACTTAGTGTTTATAAAAGAAGTTATGTAAAATATGTGTCAAAATTTCTGAGGTTCAGGAATTCTAGAAGAGTTTCACTGGATGGTTCTGGCTCAGGGTCTTTTCAGTGGTGGCAGTAGGACAGATACTGTGGCAGTATCTACTGGAGGTAGAGGGGAGGAAACACGTAGAGGAACTGGAACGGCCAGGCCTCTTTCTTCATGGAGTCTGAGAGCCTCTCCATGTGGTCTCTGCACATGGACTAGTTTGAGCTTCCTTGCAGCATGACAACCTCAGGAGCAGTTGGACAGCATACATAGTGCCTGCCCAAAGGCTTCAAGGATGAGTATTCCAATGAGCAAGGCAGAAAACTCTTACCACCTGTTCTGATGTAGCTTCAGAAGTCATATGGTGTCTTTTCTGCTTTATTCTGTTAGTTTTACTTTACTTTTGCCTCTTGATGGTAGGAAGATAATCTAGGTACTGCAGCCGTCTTTGCAAATTAAAGTCTTCCCTAAATCAGAAGCATCCAGTGAACAATCTCACCTAATATTTGTTCTGTGTAAGGCTTTCTGAGTATCATAGGAGGAACGATCCTTGACTTTTGGAAGAGTATAGTATAGACTAAAAGCAACAAGGGCCATAAAAGGGGTTTTTAAAAATGTAGGCAATTATGTAAATATTAAGTACAAAATCTTACAATTCATATTATTTCATTTTGTCAGATATTTAGTGAGCCAAGGCACTGAGCTTTCCACCTTATATTGAGGCCCTAATATAATGCCTAATAAACTCATGTCAGAATTTCCCTTTTACTCATTTACATTATCAGCTCAATAAAATCTGATTTGCTCTGTATCTTAACATAGTTATAAATTGTGTAACTCTGATGTACATCATATGGGTTCTTGGTTAATAGTGAGGACCAGGATATTTGGTACTGTGTGTAGAAGCAGTATAAATTATTCTAGCTTTTGTAATACAATATTTTGTCACTGTTGGAAACAACATCTAAAATACAGCTTTGTGGTCTTGTTTATGGTTATTTGTCATAAGTGTAGCTTGACTTCTCTGAACTTGATATTTTTTATCTGTGTGGTTCTCAACTGGGAACATGTTAGAGCTATTTTTAGGTATCACAACCAGTGTTGGGGGTGGTGCTGCTGGTGTCTAGTAGGTAGAGGCTGTGGATGTTGCTGAGCATTTTAACAGTGCTCAAGACAGCCCCCCGCCCCAAGAATTATCTGACTCAGGATATATTATAGATGAGGTAAAAAAACCTGAGATTAAATGATCATTAAGATCTTACCCTACTCTGAAGGACTGTGATTGATTCTATGTTGAAGGTTGCCATAATAAAGAATAAATACTCAGACTATGCATGGCATATAGTCAGTTTTCAATGACATGTTCAATCAAAGAATAGGGGTATAGAGATTTTCTTTTTATTCTCCATAGTATTCAGTTCAGTACTTTTGTTACCTGTTAAATATTCTCTAAATTTCTCACATATATTTGGCCTTTCAGCCCCTTCTGTAATTTTTTATGGCAGTTATTTTTGGAATGGCTAGATTAAGGTTGACTTTAGGGTTAATTCTGTTTCTTGATTCAATCTGAAATTAGGTGAAAATTGCCAAGGAGTTGGAAAGAAAAACTTCCAAATTAGACAGATATTGGAAAACTGTGTTAACTATATGTGTGTGTGTATAAAATTCAAATGTACTATACTAGCTGTGATAGCATGTATTGATTAATGAATCTATTATTGCTCATTTTTAAAGAAAAATTCTTTTTTCCCCTAAAAATAGTATGTGTCTTTTTGTCCCTGCCCCAGGTTCTTTCTGTGTGAACTATGCCTGTCCAGATATAACTTTCGATGTTTGATAATTTTTCTTCATGTTTAATGGAGGTTTTATTTTGGAATTACTTTATTGAATGAAATAGTTTTTCTTTACATAGTCAGTATTGCCTTGTTTTCTGTCAGTATTCTGGATTCAGAGTTTCTTTCTAAATGTACTTGAATGTGTTATCAGAGTTGCTTAGCTGATGGTACTGTTTTGATTTTCCTATTTCAATGTTGTGACTTTCTCCCATATTCCCTATTTCTAAAGCCCCTAATTTGTGGACTTCCTAAATGCTAGTTCTTACTGTGGAAGTATAGATGGAATTATTTTCAAGTATTTATCCACAAATTATTTTTCTCTTTTTAGAAGTTGGGTATTTTTGCGGGGGGAGGGTTGTGTTTCAAAAAGTTCTTTCTTTCTCTTTCCTACTTACCATAGGTAATTACTATCATATAGATGTTACTGCTGAAATGAGTGCTGTGATATCAGTGACTTACAGTAAGTGATGATAAAGTGACAGCTACAAAGATTATGGCTACTTGCCCTTTTTAATAACTAACAAATATTATACTTCTGTGAGAGGGATCTTGGTGAGGGGCATGGGGAGAGGAATGAATATCTGTTTCAAAAGTGTTCAGCATGAGGCCGGGGATATAGCTCAGTGGTATGAGCGCCTGCCTGGCAGATGTGAGGTTGTGAGTTTTATTCCTGGTACCACATTAAAAAAAAAAAAAAAAAAGAGAGAAATTTAAAAAAAACGTATTCAGCATGAGTCATTGATTTCACAGCACATACAGATAATCAAAATTGGGGTCAGTGTTAAAAAGAAAGTTTTTGTGTATATGTGTTTATATATGTATTTTTTAAATAAAGTTGACTAAATGGCAATGAGTATTTCTGCATACTTTGCTTCTATAATGCTGAAGAGCTGGGACTATAACAAAGTATGTTTATAACACAGTAAATGCTCTGAGCTAAAATGTAAAGAACGAAAAGCAAGGGAAAATTAAACCATTTGTTTAACGTAAAGGTATTAGATGTATGTTGAGAATTCCATATGTCAGCAGAACTCTGTCTAGCAGTATTAAATTCGTTTGCTGCTACTTCCAAAAGTTTTGTTTTGGCTTATTCTTCCATTTTGGATTTATAAAATGTTTTCATGAGATGCAGAAATACTCCTATTCCCTGCTGGTTTGTTTCACACACTGAATTATATACTATAATTTTAATGCTGATTTCTATATTGGGGGAAACTGTTACTGTTTGGATGGTGATGGGATTTTTCCTCATCTAGGCACTATATGAATCTATCCATTTTTGTCATACAGGATGATGAAAACAATAACTCGTCTTCACAAAGCTATGGTGTTTCTTGAATATTTCACAAGTAATTCTTGGGTTTGGAATACTGATAATGTCAATATGTTAATGAATCAACTAAACCCTGAAGATAAAAAGGCAAGTATTACCTGTTTTACGTTAGAAAATAAGTAGCATACCAATTAGAGAACCATTAAGAAACATGAGAAATAGATATTACCCCCTACCATTATGCAGCAGAAAAGTCATTGATGTGTTTGTAGTCTCATTAGAGCTTCAGTCATAATTATTGTTGAGATAGAAAGCGCTTTATCTTAGGATGTATGAAGTATTTGACAGTGGCAAACGCATTTTTAAAATACAAGCAAAATGTGAACTCCTCCTTTTCTCAAGCTTGAGTCAGAGAATTTAACATCTTTACATGTTTTTCCTTCAAATGCCTGTTTTCTGAGTTTTGAATAAAAAAATTGTTCAGAATTGGTTTTCATACTTTGACTTTTTGTCAGTCTACATTTTCTTTTCCGCTCATTTGAAACTTAAGCTCTTTGTGTATGTTCTTTCTGAGGTTATCCTAGATATATTAACATGTATACCCTACAGTCTAAATTACGCGGTTTCAGTGACCTCCTCTTTAATGCTGTGGAGGACTTTAAAATGTTTTTGTGTGATTACCACCTCCACCCATTTACCTACTGTATTTGTACATTTCAGCTGTTTAAACCCATAAGTACAGAGTTTTGTTCGTTCAGTTTTTTAGACTTACGTATATGTTTACCTTTGTTCTGAGATCTTTATGATCATTTTATTTTGTTTTGCTTTGTTTTGTTTTGTGCCTAATCATATCCAAATACCAGAGTATAGTTTAGCTCATGATTATTGGTAGTTAACTCCCAGCTTCTGATTGTGACTCTAGGTTTTATAACGTGAGTTCAGCACATTAATGATAACTTCATTTTTATATTTTGTCTATATTATTGCTGTTGAAAAGTCAGTGATTTGTTCTTCTTTTGTAGAAGGTTAATTATTCCTGACTTTTCCCATTTTACCTTTATGTTTGGTGTTGTACATTTTTACTAAACTTTATATGTCTGTGGTTTTTAAAAAGAGTTAAGATGTGTTATGGAATATTCCAGCACCCCACAATGAATGTAATCATTATGTACTACAAACATATGCTAAAGATAAAAATTTTAAAAATATACTTTGTTCTGCTTGGGCTTCCTGAATCTGAAGATTGATATCTTTCAGAAAAATACTTAGACATTGTTTCTTCACATGTGGCCTCTGCAGTATTTTCTTACTGTCTTCTAGAATTCCTATGATATATTGTACTGTTCTGTCCTCGGGTCTTTTAACCTTAATTTTATATCTGGGACGAAACCTAAATGATTTTTTAAAATTCTGTGGCAGTCTGTCAGCTTGTCTTTTAGATGCGTTTATTGTAAGCAGCATGTAGTTTTTCTTCCTTTTTTTCCCCCCAGTCTGGTAATTTTTGACCTTTTATTAAGACTTAACGCATAACATAATTCCTGATACTTTGTGACTTAAATTTCTTAGTACTTTGTATTTATCACACCTGTTTTCTTCCTTGCTCTTTTTAGATTGTGTTTTTGTTTTCTGTATTTTGGGTTTGTTTTGTTTTGCAATTTCATGTTTTCCTCATCTACCTTATTTATTTTTTTTTTTTTTTTTTTTTTTTTTTTGGTTTTTCTCCGGTACCAGGAACCGAACTCATGACCTTGTGCTTGCCAGGCAGGCGCTTTTGCCGCTGAGCTAAATCCCCAGCCCTTTTTTTTTTGGTTATCATTGTTTCGGTGGGTTACTCTGGAGATACAGTATCTTCTCTTAATTTGGCACGGCCTAATATAAATTCATACTTTCACCTTTCTTGAATAATGAAGGACTAGTGCCTGTCTACTACTATTGGTACATGTTTTATAAATTAAGCCTGACAGGCCTTGTGTTTTTTTCACAGTCAATTTTAGTCTGTTTTGTGTGGGAATAGCAGAATACTTGAAATGGGGTAATTTGTAATAAACAGAAGTTGGTTCATGGTTCTGGAGGCTGGGAATTTTCAGGGGTTGGCATCTGGTGAAGGCCTTCTTGTTCTGTCATCCCATAGTAGAAGGCAAAGAGAGCAAATGATTGAATTTGAGACCGCAGTCCTTTTATAATTAATCTTAATCCACGTGAGGGCAGAACCTTCAACACCTGATCACCTCCTGCTGGGCCTCAACTCCCACCACTGTCGCATTAAGGATTAAGTTTCTACTGTATGCTTTTGGAAGGGTATATTAAAACTAGTGCAGTCTGTGTGATAACTGTTTGTATGATTGGCCAGCATAATCACCCTCATATTGTTCATTTCTTCTTTCTTCTGGAATCAGTCTGCATTGTAGTGTCATTTTCCTCTTCTGGAAAATATACTGTGGTATACTTCCTCTACTATGAGTATTCTGCTTATGTTAGGTTATTTCAGTTTGTATTCTTCTGGAAACATTTTTATTTTTTTCAGAGGTAAATATGCTGATATAAAATTTTAGGTAAGCTGTATTATATAGTAATTGTATACAGTAATTGTATGTTAGCAGTAATTTCCTTTGAGTACTTGGGAAACATTGTCTCAGGCTTTTGGCTTCCATTGTTTTGTTGAGAAATCAGCTGGTAGTGTAGTACTTGCTCTCTCGGAGGTATTCTGTCTGGTCTTTTCCTGATGTATTCTCAAGTAGCTGGGTATGTATGTGTATATGGTTGGTGTTTTTTCATTCTGTGTGACTTGATATTTCATCATTTTGGGAAAATTTCTAGGCATTGTGTTTTAGATACTGCTTTTGTTCCATTCTTTTTCCTCTCTCCTTGTGGAACTCCTTATATCTCCTTGTTAAGGCAAGTCTCCATGTTAGTGTAGTGTTACATTTTCATATTTTGGTGATTTATTTATAGTAGCATTTTTCTCCGTGAAGTTTGATTTTTTTAGGTAAGTGATGGTGTAGTGAACACACACACACACTCACACGTGCGTGCGCGCACACACACACACACACAATCACAATCATTTGCCTATATCCTGAGGAGCACTGAGAAGTACATAGTCCTCTTATTTGCCGTGAAGATCATTTTCTGATTTATATATTTTCATCAAATGGTCTAGTAACTGTTATCTAAACTCATAAGCTAGCTTTCATGTTTTTTTCTTGGGTATACAGGAGGAAAGGAGAGAATGCAGATAGACATGAACTAGAAATATATGTAATATATATAAAGTGAAGAATATACAGATCCTTTGGACAATAGGAGTAGTTAATCTTGTATTTAAACCTTATATAGTCTTGTTTGGGATTGCCCTTTAGAAGAAATTTTTGATAAATTTTGAATAGAGTTGCTCCATTAAGTAATTTCTTTTTGTTAATGTAGACCTTCAATATTGATGTACGACAATTACATTGGGCAGAATATATAGAAAACTACTGCATGGGAACTAAGAAATATGTTTTGAATGAAGAAATGTCTGGCCTCCCTGCAGCTAGAAAACATTTGAACAAGTAAGTTTTACATGAGTTTGAGTGTATCTTGTCTTCCTTATGAAATATTACACAGATGTTTCTGGTAAACTGGTATATTATTTATTATATTTAGGAATAGTGCTTACCTATGTGTTGGAACTATGGCAGTATTGATTTAGCTTAAGATTGTGCAAGCTTACTGTCTATCAGTGTATATATTCCTTAGCAAGAAGTTAAGGTAAACTTGAGTTTTAAAAATTACTATTATCTTGTCATATTGCTATTGAAAAAGTAAAAATATTACTAAGAGAGGAAAACAATTAACAAATGTCGTTCGATATAGAATTTTGTCTTTGTGAAATAGAGTTAGAATTTTCTTTGTCTCTTTTAAGTAGTATATGCTGATTTTAGGAAAAACTCAAAAAGTAGTAGGGTTAAAGTTACCGGTAACCTATCATTCAACCAGTTGAATAGATGAAGACGCTGAGCTGTAAGGATGTTATGTTTGCCTACACATACTGTAGTAAGTGGCAAAGCAAACAGGAATGTTTAACTTTCGACTCTCTATTCAAAGCTTTTTTTCTCTGCACCATTGTTCCTATTATGGTATCCTGTCTTGGACTGCATGCTAAAATTAATGAAATTTTGTAATATTATTAATTATTGCCATGTTTTACTCCTATACTAGGACTTGTTGGTTGGGCTTTTGATCATGTGAATAAATTCACTTGTCTTACAAATTACACACAACTAAAATAGTAAAAAAACATTTATAGTACTTTGTGTTGTGATGTATATAATGAACAGACCCTTTTAGTTTATAATGGCATTTCAGTTCATGAACTTAGTCTGTGATTCCGGTTGCAAATTGAGTTGGACAAGAACTGAATCAAATTCAGTGGTTAGAGTCATTGTTGACCTTAGAGGGAAGTTTGATTTGCTTCTCATCCAGATTGGTTTGTGCACAGAACTGCGGGAAGAATTAAGTTTGTGAGCCGAGATGCTACTGTAGTAGGAAGTTCAAGGCATGTATCTGTTTTATGTACAATATCCTTAATGCCTAGTCCACTATTGGGCACATAAGAATTCTAAGTAGTATTTATTGAATGAGTAAATTTATAATCCAGATAGACTGTTTCAAAAACACTTTGCTGGATTCCTTGTTAAAATTGAAGTACCACTATTCAGGTTATGTACAGTAAGGTTTAATTTGAATTTTGTTAACTCTGGTTTTAGAACTTTTAGTTTTTAAATGTCTCAGATTAATATGAATTTGAACTATAATTTAGTTGATGAACATTAGTTAGCTGCCATCTAGAAATACTTTATTCTAAAAAATACTGTCTAGCGTGTCTCTTGATTTGCTTTTCAGGTTGCGGAACATACGTTATGGTTTCAATACTATCCTTGTGATCCTGATCTGGCGCATTTTTATTGCAAGGTCACAAATGGCAAGAAACATCTGGTACTTTGTGGTTAGTCTGTGTTACAAGTTTCTGTCATACTTCAGAGCCTCCAGCACTATGAGATACTGAAGACCAAGAGTTTCGCATTAGAACATCTATGCATTTGGTGGTCTAAATGCACAACATGTAAAATGTACTTAAGTCATCTCACCTTTTGTAAAGACATTAAACCGTCTTAGATCAGTGTGTAGAGTAAAACATGGTACATTTTATGTAACATTTTAATGTTATGCTCATAAAACCTAGTGAACACACTGTTGTATGTCAGCTCAGAGCTGTCTATAAGAGCCACCAATACTATGATTTAACATTTTGATTGATGGAAAGAAAGGGGTAGGATAAAGACAAGAATAGGGAAATAGAAACATTGACCAGTATAACTGTGCAATTCTGGAACATATTAATTAAAAATGCCTTAACATATAATTGTAATATTCAGTGCAATGGAAAGAATTTATTTGGACAGAGTACTAGCTAAGTTGTTAGATACTTGATTCTTAAATGTTTGATTTTTTTTCACCAGGTTTAATGGGTTTCAGTTTTATTAAAACTATAGCCAAACTATTTTTACTTCGTTCTGTAAGTTATTGAGTAGTATTAAACAAAAATATGTTCTCATTTTTCTTTTTCTGATTAAATGCCTGGTACATATCACTTTTCTCTAAGTATACTCAGTTTCTTTTATAATCATAAGGCTATATATTAAAGACCCTACTGGACCTAAATGGGTTTGAAAATCCATATCAATAAAACTATGTTAGCATCAAAAAGAGTAGGACTAAACTTTTCTTGTCCAAATTTTGATCAAATAAAAATCCTGTGAGATTGTGTTCATGTTTGGAAACAAGAGAATTTCTTGAGACTTTTATGCTCTCTTTCCTTTATAAATATTGTTTTAGGACTTTAAAAAGGTTCATACTATCTTTCCAGTGAAATCTGAAAGTGCATTATTATGGAAGAATGTATTTGCAGCTAGTAATAACATCAAGAAAATGTCCTCATGTGGTTAAACACATACTAATTTCGACATTGAAAGTTTAATTCCTTCAAGAAAAATATAATAATGCCTAATGTGTATACAATTAAATAAAGGACTTTATTTACATACCACATAAAATAGCAAACTGTTGAATGAGTTTGAATATATCACTTATTTTTTTCTGCATGGGTTTTAGCTTTAGAAAGAAATGCATTATAGAAACATAGGAAGAAAATTACGTATTTTAATGATACATTATAATTCCCTGTAAAACTCAATAAGTAGTAGTTTACTCTTTTAACATGTTTGGTTTAACAGATCATTCAGCATACCACTGTTCTAATTAAGCTGAAGTTGTACTATATTTAAATCATCAGCAGTGTATCTTGAACATGTTTAAAGAGGTCATTTCACAATATAAAAAGTTACATATAACTTTCCATCCTACTTTTCTTTGTTAGTTTAAATGCCATGTATAAGAAGTTTATTTTGTTACTGTGGACAAACTAAATGTAAAGGAAATCACCTTCTTACACGCAAGTGTATAATCTTGAAAAGGAAAAATGCTTCCTTGTTGAAGCTAGCTTTTCTGTAGTAAAACTTTTAAACATTATTTTAAAAGAAATATTTATGTAAATATGCATATATTCTTTGGAATAATACTCAAGTCTCTGGTTTAGGACCATACCTTGTAGGAGGTGTGAGAGACCATGAGAGTGTGAAAGTGGGATAAATGGTGAAGACTTTGACTTAAGGTGCTCCATGTAATGTACATGGAGCACTCTCCAAGTATATTTCCAGAACATGTTGAAATCATGCTAACATTTTATGACTTTTATACTCCTGCCAAATACCTAGAATCAGATGAATTTGTGTTTTACAAAAAAATCAGGCACAACTGTGCAGGCCTGTGAAGTACATAGTTTGTTTTCTGAATGGTTCTATTGTCTTTAGAATTTAAAGAAATGTTAACTGCTGGGTGCTGAGGCTCCTGCATTAATTTTGTGTGTTTGGAATTCTGTTGTGAAAGGTAAAGAATAAATGAAGTTCTAAAATTAGTATAATGAGTATATAGATTGATAATCTATACCAGCTAGATTTTGGATTTAAGTCAAATTTAAAGATTTGGGAAATCCATTGTGTTTGTGTCATTTGCTAGGCAATGTTTATAGATCTGTGTTTTCTCCACAAATTCATTATTTTACCGGACCACCTATAAAATAAATTTATTTCATTTAACTGATTTGATAAAACTTTATTCTAAAACATTGGGTACCCCTCTGCCCATTGACTCTTAGCTCTGGTATATGTATTTGTAAATTGTGATGTCATTGTGACTATATTTAAATTTATTTAGTAACACTAATATGTCCTAAATCAGTGCAGAAGAGAAGGCACTGTGGTTTTTGGGTTTTTGTTGTTGTTGTTGTTGTTGTTTTCTTTTGTTTTTTGACTTCAGGATCCCATAGAATATTCTTTGAATCTGTGTAATAATGCCTGGAAGCAGGGAGGGAAAAGATCTCATTTTCCTTCTTTTGTTGTATCTGCAGGAACTTATGTCAGATTTTAAAATTTTTTTAATGTGAATTAATGCTCTTTTATAAGCAGTAATAGAAGCATTATTGGGTGCCTTTGTAAACCAAAAAGTAATAAATTAATCCCTATATTTCCATTATAGTATTTATTGTATTTTTATGTAATGAAATTTGTCCATGAGATAATGTGGTTAGAATCACAGGAAGCAATCTTTAAAACTTTTGTTGTCTTCAGGTGTCTTCATTCATTCTTACATCCTAATTTTGTTTAAGTTTGGGTTGCTCGCAGCATTTTAATAAAAGCATAGAGATACAGTGAACACTTGCTGTTTAGAAGGAGATTTTATTATGATGGTACCTCATCAGCATACATCTCTGCTATCCTTGAGATGACTAAACAAATCATCCTTGTCAGTTAAGTGTAGTTGTGCAAAACTTAATTGCTTTGATTTTTTTCCTTCTAGAAAAATTTGAATAACATTGTTTGATATGCTCCTCTGCAGTTTGATGATTAAAGTGCATTTATTTAGAAAAGCTCAAAGTGGTATGGATTTAATGTCTTTACTGTGGACTTAAATTCAGAGGAGTAAGGCTATAATTGTTTTGTGTTCTGCCAGAGATTAGATTATAAGACCTGTAACTTTATATGTAAAGGAGAAAGTTGATCAAGATATTTCTATATTCATATAAGCATTCCTAGTAGGATAAGTTACTACTTATCCTAGTAGGATAAGTTTTCTTTAAAATATTTAAGTTTTTCCCTAGCTATGCAACTGCTTAGTTTTCATGTTAAAATTCCCTAAGGGTGGATTAGTTGTCTTTCAGAGGTGGCTTGGTGGCAGAATTACTTTATTATCTGCTGTTAAATAGGAAACCTAATTCTTTTTCTCTCCTGTGTAAGTCTTTAGAGCAAGGTGAAACTAGAAAGTATTGGGTTGAACCATATAAAAATACCAGTATGTCTTTGACATATTAAGGTAATATATGCCTCAACCCAAGTATTATATAGCTTCCTTTAAAAAACCAAACACCTGTATATAAGCAGACAGATTAGTTCTCTTTCACATAGTCACTCAGGAAGATTGTTTATTTCATCAGCAAAAGCCTTGTACCTTTCACATGTTAAACAGTAGTTAAAATTTGTTGAGTCCTTGCTCCACACCAGGCACTGCTCTAAGCCTCTTAGATATAGTCTGTTTATGCCCTACGACAACCTTCTGTTGAAGGCCCTTCCACTACTCATGTTTTATAAGTGTGGTAACTAAGGCATATGATGTTGGTAACTTATCCTACATTATACTTATAGTGGCAGAATTCAGATAGTCTAGCTACAAAGCTCACAGCCTTGTTCTGTATAACTTTAGATAGTCCTCCATATATGTATCCATGGGTTCAACCAACAATGGACTGAAAATATTCAAAGTAAAAATGCATTTGTACTGAGCACCCAAGACTTTTTCTTTGTCATTATTGCGTAAATAATACATACAACTATAGTATCGTTTAACAATATGTATGGAAAAATATATATCCTGAAGTGATTTTGTATGAATGTGAGAGTATGCTTAGACAAACCTAAATGTTTATTATATACGCTGCCCCTAAGATACATATTGTGGTACATCATTGACTGAAACATTGTATATTGTTGACTGAAATGTTATGTGGTACATGACTGTTTACATAGCACTTACATTATATTAAGTATTGTAAGTAATGAGAGATGATTTGAAGTAGGCTGATGTGTAAAGTTATGTGCAAATATTTTATATAAAGGGATTGAACATCTGAAGATTTTGCTACACATGGGGGGCCTAGAAATAATTAACTGTAAGAAATACAAATATTTCTGGACTATCAGAGTTCTTTGATAGTACTAAATAACTTATTTTTCATGTGTAAAACTTAGCATTCATCTATTCAACAAATACTGAGTGCCTGTTGTGGCTTGGGCACTATATTTTATGTTACAGTTGTCTTTATCATTAAACTATAAGCTCAATGGCCCAGACCTGAATATGACCCACTGCCTGCCCTTAAGGATTTTTCAAGAAAGAGCTCATATTAGCATAGGTCTTTGGAGTTGTGGTTTTATGTCTGCTCATAGGAGTGGAGGCTTCCCCACTGGAAGAGTATGTGCAGAGGCTGAGAAGTGTGAAGAATAGTGAAAGTCCTTTTTTGGTGCTGAATGTTAAGATGGCTAAGGAAAGATGAGGTGGGGGAAGTAGCTCAGGGCCAACTGAGCAGCTTTGCATGCTATCACAGTTCATTATATAGTATGTTCAGGAATGCCCATCGAAAAGTTTTTCCTAGCCAAAGCACACCGTCAAACATGAATAGATTTTGTATGTTAATGAACTGACCTATTAGATACCTTTTATAAATGAAATCAATTTAAGAGAAAAGAAAAACCAGTGTAATGTCATGAAGTCTTTGAGAACACAAACCACACCAGTGTTTAAACAAGTGTTTGTTTTTTCATTTTTCTATGATTCTGAAATTGTAATATTCAGACCAGCAGGGTCAGCATAGACATGTCATGGGGGTTAAAAATACAAATTTTGAACTCTGCTTCAGACCTACTGAGTCAGAAACTGTGAGGCGGGACCCAGAACTGCTTTAATGAGGTTCTAATGCATATAAAGTAGGAGAATCCCTAGTCTGTAGAGTCAATCCTTGGGACTCCCAAACAGAGTCCAAGTAGTGTGCATTCCTGGAGTTCGGACAGAACAGTACCACTTGGAACTAAAAATGGTCAGGCATATAGGTGTGGAATGGCAGGCATAGTACCAAAATATGAAGTCAGTGCTGTGTAGTGGAGATAGGGTCCATTGCTAATTTTCCAATCTGACAGCAGTTCCATCTTGCGTGAGTTCATTTATTTGCTAGCTAACTCAGCAAACGAAAGTTGTGCAGAGAGAAGATAGCAGTGTAGAGAAAAATAGGAAAGACTCGTCAGGTATGCTTATTCTTTTTTAAGCTCACATTCTTCACAGTAGCACTTAGTTGAATCTGGTCACAATAAAGCTCCAGCTAAAAATGGCATCTTTCTGGATAATGAAGATTACTTTGCAACCTACAACTCTTTCAGAGTTTATTCCAGCTAATACCCATACCAGGGTCCTGTAGCAATCATTGATCAAAATTACCAGGGCAGCTTTTTTATTTGTTATTTTTATTTTTGAGGCAGAGTCTTGCTCTGTAGCCCAGGTTGAACTCAAAATTCTGCCTCAGCTTCCCCAGTGCTGCTGGGATACCAGGTGTGTGTACCACTACACTGGCTGCAGGGTAACTTTAAATGTAGATGTTCCCCAGACTGACTCCAGAGTTTCTGATTAGTTGGGGCCAGAGAAAACCTAGGGCACTGAGTTTTTAAAATTTTCTGCCAGTGATTCTGATGATCCAGGTTTGACTTTCCCTGCCCTAAGCAGCCGAACCATCTCAGGAGTCTAGGGGAGAGTAGTCATTTGTATTTATAACAAGGTTTGTGGATGATCTCATATTTTTACGAAGTTCAAGAACCACCTAAACCTTTTCAAGAAATGTTATTTTCTACTCTTAGAGAAACAATTCCATCAATTTTTTCCCCTAAATTTAAAAAAAAAAAAAATGCAGACAACAGCAATATGCAAAATTGTAATTCTTAAGCATTTTTCAGCAAATTCCCCTCAGTTTCAGTACAAACATCCTGTTGTTTTTGTAAATGAATAAGCCATATCTGCATTTCTAACATTGATGTTCTATGATTACTGCAGAGAAAAAGTACCTAGTCTCTTCCAAAATTCAAAAATAAAACTCTTCCAGAGAAGCACAGTGGTTGAGTGGATAGGGCATTAGGTTGGCCTGTGATAGCTACTTACCAGCTGTGATCTTGAGCAAGTCATTTAACCTCAGTGTCAGCTTCAACATCTGTGAAATACCTAGCTGGGAGGGTGGTTGTAAGGGTTAAATTCTATGATGAATAGAAAATGTGTGGAACATAAATATTTTTAAAAATTAGTTTTCTTACAGTGTTCATATAACTTTAATTGAATACCCTTACCCACCATGGCTTTTCTGCAACCAAGAGCTCTTTCCCACTGGAATAAGTGAAGATCTTTCAAAACTTCCCCACCCAGGGACAGATTTCTTATCCAGAGGCAGAGAGAGTGATTGAAGATGGCCAGTTTCCACATCACCCATTGTGGATTTTTTGTTAGCCACGCCTTGACAACGACACACCTACTTTCCCATTTCCATTCCATTTTCTGTTTCCATTTCCAGCTATAGTCAATGTGCTTAAGAAGCAGTCTTTCCTTTCTGAGATGGATAGATTAATAGCATGGGCCCCATTTGTGTTGCAAGAAAATTTTGAAAATTTCCCATCTTTTGATTGTGTCCAAAAGCAAGAAACTTGAAAACTGCAAACCTCAGATTTTTCTAATTATACAACTTGATTCCTAACAGTATTTCACATTCCATTAGCCCTATTGCCCTCACTCTTGAAGAAAAGACAACAAGGCAACCAGTGCCTTTCAACTAATAAAAGCTTTAGATTCCAGAAACAAAATCAGTTAACTGAAATGGAGGGGAAATCATCCCACCTACACAGACAGGCATTAAAGTCTTCCATTTTGGGGCCTGGAGGGGAAGGGGACTTCTAATTTGAACTAGGTTGCTTCCTTAGAATCAAAAATCTTCATCAGAAGCATTTCCCTTTACAACTAGAAATTGCAGAGTGCATGTGCTTAGGAAGTATGAAATCACAGGTTCTTAGCTCTGGATTGGGATTTGCTGCTCCTTGTATTCCACACAGCTTTCTTATTTTCAAAGAATTCACAGTGTTGGCCAGTCAAGTTGCTAGTTTTCTCTAGGCTCAAATTACTACCTATCCCCCTTTTGCATTTCAGACCCATACATTTACGAGGTCTGGTTACCCTTTTACCTTTCCTCTCTTGGCTAGAACTTGTAGTAATTCCAGTTGAGTTTCTGATTCTGTCCCCACTCGCCAGGTCCCCAGCTGATCCCTTTCTTGCCTGTCTGTGTTGGGTGTTCTCTTTGTGCCTCCGGATTCTCTCCACACTGCATGTGGCCACAAGCTGACCTTTGTGGGTTACACATTTGAGGTCCTTTGCACTCTGGCTCACAGCAGGGTTCACCTAATGAGAATCATTGGCTAGAATGAAGGACCAGAGAGGGGACTTGGATATTCATTTCTGAAGTCACTCTTTTGGGCTCTGGGTTATAGTGGCTGCCTTCCAAATGGCAGTACTTTGCTGTCACCTGTGGATTGCGTGTAGTTCTAGTAACTGCTTCCTCCCTTACCCTGCAGCTCTCGCCATTGTTGTAGTTGCACCCTTTTTTGGTGTCATAACCCAGCTCCATTTTGTAGGTAGTCCCTTCGTAATGTTTTCCTTACCTGACCTCAGATACAGCTCCGCGTACACCTCTTGGCAGTGTTGGACCCTAGTGGTGGTGATACAAAGCCTCCTGGCTAGTCCTAAAAACAAAGCAAAACAACAAAAAACCACTGCCTTTTTCTCTGCAAGTTTGGTGCTACTTCCCTTGTCAGTGCCCACTGTGGGGATATCATCAGTACATGAGAATTAGTCCTGCTCTTTCATGGCTAGCACCAGACAGGAGATTTCTGAGTTCACCAATATCCAGAAGACAAATTACCTGCAAAAGCTGCTGTTGTACCCAGGCTGAAAGTCATAGTGCTTCGATGTAGTGCCCTTCATCCATTCCCCAAGAGCAGCATAGGTGTGGCAGAGACTACCAGAAGTGGAAATTTTCCCTTATATTTGTACACTTCTCTCCCACTCTTGTGTTCCATTAGTAAAGATGTCATCATCTATCCAAGCGAGCTAGAAACTTGATAGTCATTCTTGCTTGCTCCCTCTTAGCTAAATTTTGCACCAGTCACCAAATATTTTCCATCCTCTTCACACTGGGGATGTTAACTTCCTTCTCCTATTGCTGCTACAACTCTGGTCCAGAAGTGGTTTTTTTGGGCGGGAGGGGGGGTGGGTGGGGTGGGAGGAGGTGTACTGAGAGTTGAACTCAGGACCGTGTGCTTCCCAGACAGGCACTTGTGCCACTGAGCTATGATCATGATACTACCAGCTGGCCTTCATATCTAGTCTGCTTCCTCTTCAAAATGTGCTCTTTTCAGCAGCTAGAACCAGCTTTCTGAATCACAAATCTGATTTAGCTCCCTTACAACCTCAAAGTGGCTCCGTTCGTTCACCCCACAGGAACAAATCCATAGCACAATTTCTAAGGCTCATTATGATCTGAATGGCAGTTCTCTTCCTGCACATTCTCCTTGCTCTTGCCTCAAGCACTTCCTGTTCTGCCAGAGTTGCACCTTCTCTTGCCGTGATCATGGTGTCTCTACCTGCAAAGTTATGTCTGTTCTCGCCCATCTTTAATGTTTCAGCATAGGCCTTAAGTCTGTCAGGAAT